AATTTGGCATATTCCAAATTTGGCACACTTCCAATAGGCATACTTGTAGTAGAGAATCAGAGGACTTCTCCTATACAGAGATTGTACCCCTTCCCGTTTGATATATACTTGATATTACTTTTAACCGACACTTTGAATTTTGAATATATATAATTCAAGTTTTTTGCGTTTACAAGGCTTTACAAGACCAGGCCCTGGAAATCAATCGAGGAAGGCGGCTGCTGAGTCGGAACATATATACAGTAGTCTGCGGCAATGGTAGAGATCGGATGATTTCAAGAACAACCATCCAACATAATGATAAACTCCTAGCTCCTATCATTTTGAATTATCTCGAGGCACCAAATAGGAAGAAGCCACCAGATAAAGGGACGAATAGTTTGTTGACGTCATGGTCCTAGATGGCAACAAGTCTTCTTCCCACACTAGTGGGATGGTTTCTCCCTAGCTCATCTGAGTTTTTTTCTTCCTTAACTATGATTAGTTTGCTTTGAAATTGTCAGGGTGCTGCGTCCAGCCCTTTCCTCCGTACCCTTAAACTCTTCATAAAGGATTATAACCCCCAACTAGTATGTTTATTTGAACCCAAAGTTGCAGGACACCAAGCTGATAAAATCTACTCTGAACTCAAATTTGACGAATGGTTCAAGATTGAGGCCTTTGGTTTCTTGGGTGGTATATGGGTGTTTTTAAGAAACACTATCCATATTAACATTCTAACCACCCACCCCCAATGCCAGCCCTGATCCCAGCCTAAGAAAACGGTTGTATGCAGAATTAACTCACCAACACTGGGATATCACCAGCCCTAGGCTCCTAACAGGAGACTATAATGCAATTATTGAACAGAAAGAAACCAGTAATACCAAAAGTTTTTCTCCCTCCAATTGTGCAGGTTTTAGAGATTGGATTTACCATGAAGGTCTTCTGGACTTGGGTTACTCGGGCTCACAATTTACATGGATGTGTGGCCTCAATTCGGAGACTTTCAAAGGCGCTAGATTAGATAGAGCTCTTTGCAATACGAAATAGAGGTTGAGATTCCGAGATGCTACTGTTCAACACCTTCCTATGGTTCAAGGATGAAGAAGGAAAGATATTTCAGGGAGAGGATCAAATTAGGGAGCTTATCAAGGTCTACTTCTCCAAATTGTATACTGTGGAAAGACAAGTCAATTTGGAAGTGATATTGTGTGGCTGCTTTCCGGAGATTAGTGAAGCCATCTGGGAGGATTTCTATAGTCCGTTTACCAAAGAGGATATTAGAAAAGCCTTGTTTGATATGCCGCCATTCAAAGCACCAGGACCCTGACGGATATCATGTCGGCTTCCAGGGACAGAGCCAGGAATTTTGTTGAGGGGGGCGAAAGCAGGGATCGATCCAGAAATTTTTTCCAGCCAAGGCGAAACGTTAAAATAAAAGTGATAATTTGAAAAAAAAAAATCTAAGAAATATAGGTATAAATATTGTTGGATATGAGCAAAAAAATAAAACCCATCAAAACTTTATAAAAATATTCATAACAAAATATGAAACACAATTAATTTGATAAAATAATTTGAATAAAAAACACATTATAAATTACACATCTCATTATTAATATAAAATAATGTTATATGTGTGTGTGTGTGTTAAATATTAAAAAACACTATTAAAAATGTGATTATGTTGAAGCCAAAAAAACTATGAAAACTTGTTAATACTAAGATTTGAACCCATTACCTTCATTATAATCAAACATATGCTTTGCCAACTAATCTAACTCACTTCTTGTTAACATTCATATGTTTTTTTATACTAATACTAAAACTTGTACTATATATACATATACATACGAAGGTTATATATGGGGTGGGGTTGAGGGGGGGGGGGGGGGTAGCTGCCCCCCCTTTTTGGCTCCGTGCTTGCCGGCTTTTACAACATGTTTGGGACACTATCAGGGATTCAATTACTAATTTTGCTCTTAATTTTTTCAGGGATGGCATTCTCCCTGTAATGACACTATTATTTCACTCAAACCCAAAGTGGAGAATCCGGAGTTCGCGAAGTAATTCAGGCCAATTGAGCTCTGCAACGTATTATACAAGATCCTAACGACATGAAAACCAAGACCACGAATGTCTAAAGCCTAGAAAGGGATTACTTGATGAAGTAAGATTAAGCCTCACTACCAAAATAACAAAGATAAAAGGGATGTAGCTACTTGTTAGAGTTCATAAGCCTAAGGCTTTCTTGTCTTTTCCACATTTTGGCAGTTATAACTTCCTTTCACCTTCCTGTGTATAAAGGAGATTTAATGCTATTCTTGTTTGGTTGTTAGAACATTTTCCACTCTCTGTAAACTCAGATACACAATATACACTTTTGATTTCTTCTTGCTATGATCTGAGCCATTCCAACATGGTATCAGAGCTTCACCGTAGTTATGCCGCAACGGTAGTGGCAGAAGACGGTGAAGGAAACTCTACTAGACAGCAAACAAGAGGGTTTTCAAACCAGAATTAGATGAATTCCAATTCAGCTCAGTACGATCCTGATGATCCTATGTATTTGCATGTGACTGAGAATCCTAATCTCATTCTCGTTTCTCCACCTCTATCGGAGATCAACTATGCTTCTTAGAGTCGTTCGATGAAGATTTCATTGGAAGTAAAGAACAAATATGGTTTCATAGATGGAACTATTGTAAAGCCTGCAGAAATAGATCCTAAGTATCCAATCTGGAGGAGGTGCAACAATATTGTCTGCTCCTGGTTATTCAAGTCCTCAGCCCTACAATTGCAGAAGGAGTACTCTATTTCGAACTTGCAGCAGAAATTTGGAAGGTCCTTGGAAAGAGATACTCCCAAGTGGATCCTCACAGAATTACAGAAATACAAAATGAAATCTACAGGAGTTCACAAGGTAAATTGTCTATCAATGAATATTTCACTAAGACTAATGCCTTATGGGTACAATTGAATGCAATGAGACCTATTCCTGCTTGTGAATGTGTACCTAAGTGTTCTTGTGCTCTTGTGAGTAAGATTAAGAAGGAGAAAGAAGAGGATCAGATCATTATATTCTTAGAAGGTCTAAATGAAGAATATGCGAATATCAAGTCAGGTATCCTTGTAATGGAACCTATTCCAGTCATGGAAAAAGTGTTGAACATGACTTTAAAGATGGAAAGAAAACTTAAGAATTCAATCAATATCAAATGCAATGATCTAGCTTAGGCCAGTGCTGTGCAGAATGATCAGGCTCAACACTCAGATGAACAGCTCATGATTGCAGCATCAAATTCATATAACAGAAAGAAGTTCAATACTGGATCAGGAAAAAATATGCCTAAATGCACATTTTATGGGATGTTAGGTCACACCATTGAGAAATGTTATAAAAAACATGGATACCCCCCTGGGTGGGTACCAGGTTACAAATCCAAAAGTAAGCAGAACCAGGATACTCAGCACAATCTCAGTGCCTCTGTCAGTCAAGCTAATGATGTTGGTTTATCTCCTGATCAATTTGAAAGACTCTTATCTTTGTTGCAAAATCAAAAGCAAGGAGATCAGTCTTCAACCAATGCAGCTGTGACAGTCAACAATGCTGGACTCGTTCCAGATTTCAGAAACTCTATGGAGAACAACCACAATGAAGGCATGTCTATCTCTAATTCTGATGTTAACACTGTCTTGAATTCTTCAAGTGTTTGGATTCTAGATTCAGGAGCAACAGATCACATTGTTTACTCCTTGGAATATTTTGACACTTATCATGCTGCTTATGGAATTTTGGTTAAATTGCCCAATGAGGACACAGTGAAGGTCACACACATATGACAAGTCAGATTACACAGGGACATACTGTAACACCCCACTTTTCTTAAATTTAATTAAAGTTCTAAATCCAAATTAAGATAAACTAAGCAGCGAAAAAAAAAATCAAACTTAATTAACAAACTTAGTGAGAATGTCACCGCCACAACCACCTTCCCACGGTGATTGCACAGGCTAAGGGTAAAACTAAACATCAAGTCAAACTAACATCAGAAATTTACTACATTAAAGTAACTAGGGGAAAAGTACCTCGGTGTCTATCATCAACAAAACAAAGGTGTCTACATCCATAATCTAAAAAACAACGATAAAAGATCAAAGAGTTTAGACTACAAAGCAACTAACTACACTAGTTTAACTCGAGCAACTCTCAAACGCTGGGCCCACCTGAAAGGGGTTTTGCAAAACAACAAGTAGACAAGTAGAAAACACTCATTAGCACGAAGCTAAGTATAACCACACTCAACCCTATAAAATACTACAATATATACTTTGGAAAAACATTTGTTCACATTCCAAAAATTTGATGGTTGTGGAAAAAGAAAAAAAAAAGAGAAAAAATGATAAAACTATCATTGGTTATTATTATTATTATTATTATTATTATTATTATTATTATTATTATTATTATTATTATTATTATTATTATTATTATTATTATTATTATTATTATTATTATTAATGTTATATCCAACATAATAAAAAAAATTGATGTTATAAAACTGTAATTGAATTGAACAAACATAGGGTGCGTTTAGTTAGCACATAGGAATCAGAATCGGAATGGGTATCAAATACTTGGGAATGGTAATGGGTTTTGGTGAAAGTATTTAACATGTTTGGTAGTAGGGTGGAATGGTAATGGTTACTAATAGTAGTGCTTGAGAATGAATAAGGGAATGAAACACTTATTTTATTTGGGTATGGATTTTTCAATTGATGGGGTATTCGAAACCCATAGTAGTGTTCCAAAAACCTATCAATCAAACAACAACAATCACTTTCATACCCATTCCAATGGGCAAAACCCACTAACCAAACACACCCATATATTATAATGTAATTCATTAGCATAAAATGTACATGATTTCGTGTAAGTATTAATATTCGCCCTTGGTGATTTTATAATGCAAGAAGAATTTTTATTTCTAGGAAACAGGGAACATTCTTTCAACAATATTAAGGGCATGATACATTTCTTCCAGGACCTCCAAAATAAAATATGGGATCATCAGTATAATCGTCAAGGTAAAAGATATCATAGCATCTATACTCGTCGGTCCAGGGATAAGCCCAGGTCGGAGGAATCAATTCCATTGAATTCCCAAGAATTCTCATTCTTTTCACGTACCCAGACGTCCCAAATATCATGTCCGGATAGCGCCCACTCCCCATTGCTGTTGCTGTGTGTGGTCGCCGATCGCCTACATAGCTACTGTAAACCTCACCACCCCATTCAACTGTCTTGGCATGATATTTTAAACTCACGAAGAGCTCTGGGGGCCAATACCCAATATTTTTCTCTCCATATTGTACCCACCAATTTCTTGTATATGGATCCTAGTGTTTAAGAAAATGGTTAGAAAATGAATCCTGGTGTCATAAATGACGTATAAATTGTGTATTTTTAGTATTTGAATTGTGAATTTGTAGAATATAAATTGTATTTCTAAGTTAAAACACATAATAATTGTCACGGTTATCTATCAAATCTTAATATGTCAATACTGTGTGACTACAGTATTTGAAAGGAACTTGTGAATACAAAACAAGGTAATCAATTACATATATATGTTAACATTGTGTGTTTGTAGTATACAAATTGTGAATTTTTAAAAGGTTGTGAACATTTAGTATATAAATTGTAAACATTTGGACCCGTGAACCAAACAGTCCCTAAAGCTTATTAAAATTATTATTTTCAACATATTTATTTTTCAACTTTTGGTTCTTCAACTATTGTATATCATTCCCACTTAGTCCCTAATTGGCTAATTATTAATTTTTTCACATTTGATGCATGATTATTTAATTCCTACCACATTTGGCCATTTCACTCAATTTATTGCGAGCCTAAGTCAGACATCTATATCTAACATATACCATTTCAAATAACTCACATGCTAGTGATATAAGAGATTTATTTAAGGTTGACTGAAAACTTATTAGAAAGATAGTTAAATGTGACTGAAATTTGATAGTAATGCGTTAATTATTTTTTAAAAAAATTGATATATAGTCAAGAAATAAATGTAATGGATTTATATATTTTGATTTCTGACCTGATGGATGTATATAGAAATTTCATAGGGTAGGCCAGTTGGGGACGAGATGGGATAGATAGCTGCACCAAGTGCAATCTCATGACTAGTTTGAACAAAACCAGGGCAGGTGTGATCAAAGCAGCCTGTATTTTTTGAAGCATCAACCTATGACACAAAAATTCCCCCCAAAAAACAAAATCCTTAGTGAAGTATAGTCCTCAAATAAATTAATTACTGAAATAATGAACTAATCGAGTTGGCCAGGTTGTTGACTTGGTAACCACAATGTTCCATGTTTGACTCCTAGTAGGAGTAGCTTATTAGCCTTCTTGGTTTGAGCCGATAAGTTATAGAAGGGTAAGATAGGCTCGTTTATCTACATATGGTCCTTTGTCGACTAGAATCACAAGGCAGTTTTTACCTCGAATAGTGACAGTCGATTCCCTCGTTACCTGGCCAACAAAATATTTATCTCCTTAAAATAATCTCAAATAATTTTATTTACGTACCGTCCAATAAGTGAAAATTCTTGTTTGCCTGTCTCCATATACACTAGGGTTTACAGCCCACCCGGACTGAATTTCTTCATAGTCACTAGAAGGCCCACCATCAGAGAGAGCAACACGAGAAGTGCTATATTCATCATCTGCCTCAACATGAGGAGTATGAACCCTAAAGTCTCCCTTGGCTCCCAAGTAGCGGTACCCATATGTGAGCAATATAGCCAACTATAACATAATTCGTAGGAAAAAATAATTAGAAAAAGAACTCAATTTTTTTTTTTTGTCACTTTTGATTCTGGTAGCATTTTGCCATTTTACGCCTATGAAAAATGTCACTATAGATGTGATTCTATTTTATTTTATTTTAAAAATAATATTTTTGGTCCTTCTCGTGAGGAATTTGGTAAAATCTCACCGGATTTGTCACATGACTTGCGGAAGGACTAAAGTTATAAGAAAAAACCTTAAAACTCACACTTTTGACAAAAAACATGCCATATATATGAATAGACATTTTTTGCACATAAATTTTGGTCACTCACAAGTCTGATAAAATCAAATTTTATCAAATTTTTATCGAAAGGATCAGAAAGTGCTGAAAAAAGAAGCTAGGCTATGCACTTATAGTGACAGTTTTCATAATTGTGCACCAATAGTGAGAATGTTACCAAACTCGTGACAATAATTCAAAAGAAAAATAAAACCACTTCTAATTCTTTGAATAATTGCATGCATAAGCTCAGTTGGTCACATGAGTGAAATTTGAGAATAATAATTGTATATATGTATTTTATAATTACCGAATGGTTCTGGTGCAAGACGGATAACTTTTCATCACCATCTGACCCTTTATCACGACGAAAGATGGTAGGCTTCTTTCTGATTTCTACTCCATTTTTCCTTCTAATGGGAACTGTTCCTCTAGGGCAACTTCCACTTCTATGCCATGATTGTGTTGTTATAGTGAGAGGAAGGCCTTCTTTCCTTTGTTTGGTGAAGGATGCTCTCCTAGGTTGTTCTGTGGTCTGATGATTATGACTTGGTGTCATCTACATTAAGAATGAGTCAGTCTATAACACAAGAAGTACATATATATGTAACGGAATAACGGGTCAGGTTCTCATGCGGCCGTGTAGTTACACACCATTAGATACGCATAAATGCACCATAAAGTGTTTGAAAATGCACCACAAAGTGTTTGAAAATGCACTATGTGGTGCATCTGTGCATTTTATTTTAGTGCATTTTGAACGCTGTATGATGCATTTATGCATATTTAATGATGCAATTCGTACTGACTGCACGAGAAGTCCTATTCTCATTTTAACCAATATCTATATGTAAAATCATATATAATCATATCAGATGGTCTAACGTGGGAAAATCATCATTATAAATACCTGAATTTTGTGGTTTCTCAAAGCAGGATGCTTGAATGCTGGCTGCTTGTAGATGTTGATGCATTCTATGATGTCACCATCTTCACTCTAAACATATTGAAGAAATTAAACAAATATATATATACGTAGACAGATTCTTTATAGTGTTGATCGATATCGGTGTCAATAGTATATGATACAATCATGTATATAATAATAAACCTAATTGTACCAGGTATACTATTAAACTAGCTAGTGTTAATATATAGTATCTAGCATAACAAAAAATAGTGTATATGATTTTGCCCAATATTATCGATATTGTGAAAAATCACATAAACACACATACTAATAATAAAATTAGCAATACCTGAATGGTTGTGACAGAATGGTTTGTGTGAAGATTTGAATTGTTGTGACCAAAGATTGGCTTATTTTTTTTCACCTTTCCATTGCAAAATGTGGTGATCAGTAACAAGAAAACCACTATTTTGAACACCATCATCCTAGTAATGACAAGACAAAACATAATAATTTGACAACCAACTATCCTTAAACTAATCAATATTGTTGTTTAATTTTTGTTCCTCAAGATGCCTGTGATAAAGAGAAATTAAAGTGAATTTATAGATTACATTACCCATCCACTTGAGCTTGACAGAAATGCAGCTAGCAACTATTAGGATGGAAGTTCTTTGCACCCTATGTTTGCATGAATTACCTTACATATCATCCATATGCCATTTCTTATTTGAATAGCATTGAGTAGAGAGCACAAGTCTCAATCCGTAAGACGGGTCGAATCTTTGATTAATGGATCGAATTTTTGACCCCAGTGATCAAAGATCTGACCCGTACGTCTCACAGATTGAGACCTGGTTGAGATGGTCCAATCGTTATAT